AGTCTGGTGTACACAGATCCATTTAGGAGAACCAAACTTAAACAGGAGAGAACCTTATATGCAAAATTATCTCCACAGTCTGCTGACTGGAAGAGGTTTCTGTCCAGAGATAATGCCTTTCTTACTTCCCTCTTCCCACTGCAGTCCCCAAAGTGTGGCCCAAAATGGTACTCCTAAAGGGCACGGGACCCCAGGATCAGCAAGAGGGGGTTGTCAGAGGTCTGCGGGGGGGGGGGAAGGGGGGTGTGGAGGGGTGGGGGGGGGGGGGGGAGAAAACACCAGAAATCACACCCATCCCCTTCTGTCTGTGGAAATCCTTTGTGGCATTCTACCTGTTTTTTGCCCAGTGAAGGGAAAACGTATCTTTTCCTCAAGGAGGAAGGTGATTTGGGTAATAAAAATTGACCCCGGGAAAAGGGCTAGGTGTGAACTTTCATCCCCAACTGCACCTTCTCACAGCTGCTTTGTGTAACAATAAGCAACCAAACACACACAAATAAGCAGCGTGGGCAGAGTGCTCTTTTAAAAGACCACATCAGGCTGCCTTGAGACTATCTACTGCCAACTCACCTCCCTCGAGGCCTCCTCTACACCAGCATCACACCTCAAGGCATCTGTCGTATACCAGACTCCAGTCTATAAGCTCCGTGTTGTGGTCCTTTGGAATCCATGCCAAGCAGGACAGCAGAGTCTGTCTGACCCTAGAAGAAGGTAAAGCACCTCTGCCCAGATTCCCACACACACACACACACAAACACACACATGCATCCTCACAAAGTGATGTGTCCCAGTTGCAGGTCCTGTGCCGGCTTAATTCTGCCAGATGCAGTTAAGATATAGACCGCCATTTTTCCTCTGGTCCATTTGCCATGATGATGACTGTTGATCTCTCTCTCCTCCAGGAGGTGGAGAAAGTGATGCAAAAATACCAAGACTTGCAGAAGCAATTGGAAAACCAGCCTGGGGGAGGGGACTCCTTGCAAAGGCTGATGAGCCTGAAGACGGAAGCACAGAAGCTCCTTGACAAGGCAAACAGCAGCAAGAGAAAGGTGGATGGTAAGGACGCTGCAAGGATTACTGAGCAAAGTCACACAGGTTACAGGGAAATGTGTCACCTTTTCAAACCTTAGGTACCACGTGTACTGGGAGCCCAGCAGCCATTAGGGCTGCCAGGCCTGGGTTGGAAAATAGCTGGAGACTTTGGGGGTGGATCCAGGAGAGGGTGGGGGAGGGGAGGGGCCTCAGCAAGGTACAATGCCATGGAGCCCACCCTTCAAAGCAGCCATTTTCTCCAGGGGAGCCGATCTCTGCCAGCTGGAGATCAGTTGCAAAAGCGGGAGATATCCAGGCCCCACCTGGAGGCTGGCAATCTTAGCAGCCATGCATATTGGGAGCATCCACCGCCATGGATGGTCACAGTGTTGTCTGAATTGGAGTAACATGTATACCGTCCTTGCACATACAGATTGGTACATGGGAATCAGAACCCTGGAAGATCCGGCGGTCAGTTCACGCATGCAAAATACATGCATTTGCCCATTCAGACAATCTGGTGACCCTGCATATCAGGCAGATCTACACGTGGTTGCCAGCCTCTCAGAACAGCCTCTGCAACTCATTGTTATGGTAACAGAACAAGCGAGGAACCAAGAGAGCTCTAGTAGAATAGTGGAAGTTCTCTTATGATTCTTGCTACAGCACGATGCGTGTGGCATGGCTATTTCTGAAGTACAAGGGATGCATGGTTTATATGGGGAAAGAGATGTTATTTCGGCAAGTCAGTGTTTATGAGAAAGGGGGTGGGTGGGAATCCATAGAGCAGAGTGTTCAGAAGCATGCAGGAGCTTGCTTCTGAAGCCGATAGGGACTGGCTGGACATTAAAAGAAGGCTATAGCAGAACAATAATACTTACAAGTATACAGCATAGCTTCAAAGCATTTTAGTGGTTATTTCAATATTCCTGAGGGAGGGGGGGGCGGCATCAACATTAGCATGAGGGCTATTTTTGGGCAGGAACGGAGTTCCGGCTGGCTCCCGAGTTGGCCACGCCCAGCAGAAACTCATTAGCATAACAGGCCACGCCCAACAGCAGAAACTCATTAGGATTGGCTACATTAGGGGTGTGTGGCCTAACATGCAAAGGAGTTCCTGCTACAAAAAAAGCCCTGCGTTTTGACAACAAACAAGGTAAACAGAATAAGAAGTAGGGTTGCCAAATGCATTTTGGCTGGGAGCGGGGGGCTCCCGGCTGGTGTCTAATTCGTGCGCGTAGCGCGTGCGCATCACCCGGAAGTGACGTTGCACGCTGGGGGCAGGGGTGGGGTTTCCCCCGGGCCCAATTCCACGCTGGGCGGAAGTCAGGCCTTGAAAGCGGGGGGAAATCCGCCCCCCGGGGGGATTTGGGAACCCTAATAAGAAGCAAAAGGTGGGTGTGGCTGGATGACCACACTTCTGGTAACATGGGGGTGCAGCCTAATATGCTAATGAGTTTCAGCTGTTAGGTGTGGCCTATTATGCTAATGAGTTCCTGCTGGGCTTTTTCTACAAAAAAAGCCCTAATTAGCATGTATCCTACATTAGGCTGGAGAAAATCCCTTTAGCTCTAAGGAGCCTCCCTCCAACTCAAAAGGCTCTTCTGTGGGAAGAAGTCTAACTTGAAGCTGGAAGAAGGCTCTAGAGTGTGCAGGCCACTATCTTGTTATAGTTGGGAGCCGATGCTGAGGAAGGGTGGCTAACGGTCGCCTCGCGAGTTCATTGTAAGGATAAAATGGAGGAGAGGAGAATGATGTAAGCCATTTTGGATCCCTAATGGGGAGAAAAACGGGGTATAAGCGAAGTGAATAAACAAATTGCAGTGGTGAAGACTTGGACCTGGTAAAAGTCTTGGTTCACAGCTTGGTCTCTCAGGAGGCACGTGTACCACAATGTCTCTCTCCTCACCCCTTCCCCTTCTCCACTGAAACTCTTGTTGTTACTTCAGTGGACAAATGTCTCCAGGTTCTGAAACCTGCCTTTCTGCTAGGGGAGCTCTGCAAGTTCTAGCAAACCCCCCTCCCCTGCTCCAAGTTCTATCTGGGAGAGCAAAAGATTTACTCAAGGCTTTTCCCCCCCCCCACCAGAGTTAGAGGAGCGCTTCGAGGCCAATGAGAGGGAGATGCAGGCAAAAGCAACAAAGCTGCAGACACTGGAGAAGACGGTGATGGAACTACTGCACTACATACGGGAGAAATCCACTGCCTATGCTACCTGCTAGGGCCAAAGTTTCTGCCATCAAAGCCTCAGGCCTGACTTCTGCCAGCTTCAATGCTCTACCTTGGTGGGACTCTCCCATACAAGTCAGTGTCCAGCTAGTCTCTGAGACCTTGTCTGTAGATTCAGGGCCTTAATGTAAAATTAGTTCGTTTCATCTTCTTATGCACTGTACCAGGTAGGTCTAACTGGGGCCGGGCCTAGCAGAACAATTCTAGTGGCAAAATCTCATATCAATGCAGTTACGTTGTTTTGAGTCCATATTATGTCCTAAGACTCAGACTGGGGTAATTAGAAAAGTATATATGCCTGTGGGTATTTTCCAGAGAGATGGAACATGTCCGCCCTAACTCTGTTCATGGAATAATTCCCCTCAACCTCTTCCTGCCTTCCTCAGGACATTTTTTTGCGATTGCCAAGAAAACAAAGCACTTCCTAAGCCACCCAGGCCTTTGGCCTGTGATCTCAGGCTGTGAAAAGGATGAGTGGGTACCACAAAAACAACATTCCGACTGTGCCAGCTGTTGTTGAAAACTTGGCTGCGGCCTTCCAGTTGCTGTCTATCTCTTTAGGCCCTGGGGAATGAACGAGTTTGAATAGAATCCCTGATTCTTCTTAGGCTTATGGTCCCATGGCTGTCCCTACTGTTGGTAAATAACAGATAAAGACACAAACCTTCCCTCAAACAAACAAAAAAGGTGAACAAAAGCCATTCAGCATCTTGTCTGAGCCTTCCACTATAGAAAAGTGCCTGCTATTCCACCCAAGATTTGGCAAAGTCTTCCTTCCCCACTTCCCTCATTTTCATGGTCCCTGGGCACCGGTAATAGCCATCAGCACAGACAGCCTTCAAGAAAGGTTTACACGCCTTCATAAGAGCTACATCTGTGAACAGCTATTGATCACAATGGTTTACGATTGCCTTCTCTGGCCAGCAGAAAGAGGTCTTCCTTCTCAACTGCAGCACCATCCGTGGCATGTTTCCTCTCCTATTGTGGCTGCCTTGCCCACTTGTAAACAGAAGGGGCCACGGCTCAGTGGCAGAGCCTCTGCTTGGCATACAGAAGGTCTCAGGTTCAATCCCCAGTATCTCCAGTTTTAAAGGATCAGATAGTAGGTAATGTGGAAGACCTCTACCTGAAGCCCTGGAGAGCTGTTGCCTGTCTTAGTAGACAATACTGGCCTTGATGGACCAACGATCTGATTCAGGATAAGGCAACTTCATGCATTCACTTACTTGCCTGGAAGAGGACTACAGGCTGGTTGGTGTTTCAGAACTATCCCACCAAAGGTTCTTGACCAGCTCTTTATCCCAACCCGACAGAGCCAGAGATCTGTTTCCCTTCTGTTAACAAGTGGCCACACGTTTCCCTAGGGGCAAAACAGTGCCTGTCTACCACCCCCTCCCAACATGTAGTATCTATTGGGTTGGATCCAGTCAGCTTTTTGACTAATTCCCCTTCTTATGGACCCCTGTCCCACGTAGTTTTTATTGATACAGGTCCCATGATCCCCAGCAGAGCCGCTTTGGTGGTCAAAGGGGACCCTCTCCTCCTTTTTGCACCTCTGAAAAGCTGGTTAAATCTAACCCATTCTCCCTACTTTAGATTTAGAACATTTGGGAAGTGCCACTGCTGCGGGGTAGACTCTGATGCTCGCACCAATCATCGCTTCTCAATTGATGTTGCTCAGGGCGAACTCTTGTCTCTCCCCCCCCCCCTTTCTGTAGAAATAAAGTCCTTGACTCTTCCGACATGTTTTTGTGTCTCTTGCTGGAGAGGTGGTGTGGTGGGGATTAAGGAACACTTATGACCCCCCCCCCCAAGTTACAGCAGCTCCTTATGATGGTACCCTGATGTGACTCATGTATGGCAGTTGGGCTGTTGGAAGCTTTTGTTGCTGGGTTAAAACCACTTCCTAAATCCTAGCCTAAAGGGAGCTTTACTCATCTCATAGAAGGAAGAATTTACCGGTTCAGATTCTCTCTTTGCTGATTTCTGAATCACACTCAAGTTTCCCTCCGGTAAAAAGGTAAAGGTAAAGGTTCCCTTGCTCGAAAGCCAGTCGAATCTGACTCTAGGGTTGCGGTGCTCATCTCCGTTTCAAAGCCAAAGAGCCAGCGCTGTTCGAAGACGTTTCTGTGGTCATGTGGCCGGCATGACTAAACAATGAGAGAAACCAAATTCAAATATAGTCTCTAGGGGAAAAAAATTCTACTGATTTTCTAATGCATTATAGACTGAGGAAAACAACGTCTTTAAGTTGTTTCAGTCACAGTCCCATCCACAGGCAGGCTCTAGAGCTTGGGAGGAAAAGAAGAAAAGGATGTGACATCCTAAGACGCCCAGCCATTTTCTTACCCCCCAGTTTGGTGTTCTGTCCAAATCCCTTTTAGAGCAGCATGGCTCTCTTGTGAACAAATAAAAACTATTCCCCTAGTCTTTGCAAGACCATGACCCATTCTACGTCTATCCAGCCATTTTCTTACCCCCCAGTTTGGTGTTCTGTCCAAATCCCTTTTAGAGCAGCATGGCTCTCTTGTGAACAAATAAAAACTATTCCCCTAGTCTTTGCAAGACCATGACCCATTCTACCTCTAGCATTCGCTCTGTTGTTTTACCAAACCCACACTGGAACAGAAAAAGATGCAGCTCAAAACCACATTCATATACCCTGGGCCAACAAACCACATTCAAATGCCCTGGGCCAACACCATACGGACTGCAGAGTCACCCCTGAAGGGCCATAAAATGGTCATAAATCTATGCAGACAGTACCCATAAAACTGAGAGATCAAAGGAAGTGAAACCAGCATGCAGTGTGGAGGCTACCATAAAATCTTGTCTTCTCATAATGTGACCAGAACATGCCACCAGTGGGGCCAGGACATTAGAAGCCCTCCCACTGTTGACCCCCCCTAGCACCAAGAAGACAGAGCATCACTTGCCCCAAAGTATCTATACCTTGTGGCTAATAGCCACTGATGGACCTCTGCTCCATATGCCTATCTAATTCCCTTTTGAAGCCGTCCATGCTTGTAGCCGCCACCACCTCCTGTGGCAGTGAATTCCATGTGTTAATCACTCTTTGGGTGAAGAAGTACTTCCTTTTATCCGTTCTAACCTGACCGCTCTGCAGTTTCATGGAGTGCCCACGAGTTCTTGTATTGTGAGAAAGGGAGAAAAGTACCTCTTTCTTTACCTGCTCTTTCCCATGCATAATCTTATAAACCTCGATCATGTCACCCCTCAGTCGTCTTTTCTCCAAGCTAAAGAGCCCTAAGCGCTTTAACCTTTCCTCATAGGGAAAGTGTTCCAACCCTTTTATCATTCGAGTTGCCCTTTTCTGCACTTTTTCCAAAGCTATAATATCCTTTTTAAGGTGTGGTGACCAGAACTGCACACAGTATTCCAAATGAGGTCACACCATTGATTTATATAGGGGCATTATGATATTGGCTGATCTGTTTTCAGTACCCTTCCTAATAATCCCTAGCATAGCATTGGCCTTCTTTATTGCAGTCACACACTGTCTCGACATTTTCAGTGAGTTATCTACTACAGCTCCAAGATCTCTCTCTTGATCAGTCTGCCAGTTCAGACCCCATCAAAGTGTATTTATATTTAGGATTTTTGGCTCCAATGTGCATCACCTTGCACTTGGCCACATTGAACCCCATCTGCCATGTTGACGCCCACTCGTCCATCCTTGACAGATCCCTTTGGATCCAGGCTTAATTTGTCCAGGCTTAATTTGATCTAGAACCTGTTTGTCTGTCTTTTGGGCGGTCCATGGCATCCATAAAAACTCTCCTCAAAACCTCATTTCCAATGGGCCTCTGCAGAGTGACCCCGGTACCTGGCCTTCCTTGGTGATCTCCCCTGCAGTTATCGGCTCATCTGTGCTATCCAGGTCAGTTAACAGCAGACTAGCCAAACAGCTTTCCCATGACATTTTTATATGGCACCTGTGTTTACATGTAGAAAAACATGTTGCACGTGAGGTTACCTTGAGATTGACTTGCCAGAAGACGAAGAAAACATCCATGGAGATGGAGGCGTTGAGTCCAGGTCTCCTAATCCCGAGTCTCCTGGGGCACATTGGAAACTGAGTGCAATTGGTAGGTTCTGTGATCAGAGGATCATGTTCAGGAACACACCTTTTCAAGCCAAGCAACCCTTCAGAACAGAACATTTGGTCACCACAGGCACCCTGGGCGTTCGCTCTGAGAGCAGCCTTTTGAACTGGGTGGGGATCTTTGGCTTCCTCCCCCCCCCCCCCCCCCCGCGGCCCCTCCTTCTACTACTCTGTGGTCTTC